ACCAGGCATTGATTACCAAGAAACCTTCGCCCCTACCCCCAGACCAGAAACTGGCAGAATTATGTTAGTACTGGCTCATCATATGAAATGGCACAGATGCCAGGGGGATGTCCCGGCAGCTTTTCTAAACCCAGATTTGAAGATTGATCACTATATGGATCTACCTAAAGGTTTTGAAAAAGACGGACAGATCATTTGCCTCAAGAAGGGACTATACAGTCTAAAGCAAGCCGCTGTATTGTGGTACGATGATGCAAAAGCCACCCTAGCAGCTCTAGGTCTTCATCCTACAACTTCAGATGTGTGCCTCTATACAAACAAAGAAAATGATCTATTTGTATTACTCCATGTTGATGATTTCCAAGTCATGGGGCCAAAAAATGAGAAAATAAACCGTCTAATGTATGCACTTAACAAAAAATACAACCTTAAACGTGTTAATACAGACCTGTTCCTTGGAATACATATCAAAGAGACAAGTAACACACTAGAACTCTCTCAAGGTTAATATGCCCATACACTCATAAAACGACATGGGCTAGACTCATGCAAGCCAACAAATACGCCTATTGAGAAACTCACTGAGCCAAACAACTCTCAATGTTCAAAGCAAACACAGTGGGTGTACAATTCAATCATTGGAGGACTCCAGTACCTTGCAAACAATACTCGCCCTGACATTGCTTTTGCTGTAAACCACCTTGCACGTTTCTTAGCTAACCCATTGTCAGAATATCTTGTAGCAGCGCGCCGCATCCTCCGCTGTATAGCTAAACAACCAGAAAAAGGCATTATTTTCATCAGAAATAACACAAAGCCAATTCTTGAGGCATATTCGGACGCTGACTTTGCAGCCAATCCATCAACCAGTAGATCAACATTAGGTACATTAATTAGGCTAGCCTCTGGACCAATATTCTGGAAGTTGCACCTGCAGCAAGAAATAGTTCTCTCAACAACAGAGGCTGAATACCTTGCAGCAACAGAGAAATTTCGTCAACTGCAATGGATCAAAGCCCTGTTCGAAGAACTTGAACTAACAAACCTCAAAGAAGGAACAGAGTGCACCAACTTACATGTCGACAATCAGTTAGCGCTGTCATTGATCAAAAACTATGATAATCATAAGCGTTCAAAACATATAGCACTAAGAAATCACTACTGTAGAGAGCAGTACAAAAACGGGCGAATAAAAGTCACATACATACCTTCGGTAGACCAACTATCTGATGCCTTGACAAAAACTAAAACTCCGACCCAAATTCACTGAAACATGAACAACTCCAGATAAACTTAGATCTAAGCCAGCATACTGACAGAGGGGGTGTTATGATCCATGTACATGGATCATAACACTAGTTCCAGCCCGATTCCTGTCGAACTCCTGAGAGTAACCTAGAATCTGATCGAAGCCCACTGAACTGACAAGAGTACAAAATACCATCCCAAAACATCCAGAAACTAATTGCCAGAGTAGCTTAGAGTTCCATCGAAGTAACTAGAACTTGTCTAGAGGGATACCAGCCGAAGCTAGGATCAGACTCTACCTCAACACCATGAATCTATCCATGACATAGCAGTAGCCATATAGTCTTAGAGCCATAGGTTGGCAGGATACCATCTCCACATCAGCTGGTCTGTGATACCCTCTACTGCAGCTCTGTCCAATCCATATATACATCATAGTAACCAGAGCAACTATTTCGGCCTTGTGCTTCTGACCTTAGGGACCCCTGATACTATTATTCCTTTTGGGTGTTCTATTATTATTTCTTTATGTGCACGGACCAATTGTATTTTATGTATATATTTATTAAGGAAATTATGACCCCTCAGTCACTGAGTTTGTGGAGCGCATTAATTCAAGTAACTACCAAAGTGAAACTAAGTACAGAATTTGTAGTCACGTGTGTATTGGCAATGTGGCCTACTCAATAGCCCAATTATTCTAAATTCTAGCAATATTTGTAAATATCTTGATACCTTTCTTACCTTCCATCCTCAGTTTAGAATCGTATGAACTATATTCCTGATTTGAGTATTTATCTGATTCGACTTGGTCATATTTTAACCTGTGCTCTCCTACAGTTGTCACAGAGCTATAGCCTCTGGATGTTGGATTTTCCCAATAGTTTTGATAATGGCAATCTCCTCTTAATAGGAGGGAAAATTACTGCACCTTTCACATTGGATGTTATTGAATTGATTGTTCCTTTCCACATGGGAAATTTCGGGAGAGTATGGGCAAACATCATTCCTCCTACCATTTATAATTGTCAAATTTGAGTTGGTTCCTTTCAGCACTGCTGATAGGACTTGAGTCTGGCCTCAATATAGCTTTGCAACATGTTGATATCAGCCATCTGTACTTTGCCTTCTTTATCAAATCGTGCCCTAGGCTGACTTATTCTGCTAGAATAATTGGTTGTCGGAAAATTTGGTTGATTGGTGTCCATAGAGGGCTAAATTTTTGTCATAATATAGCTTAGAAAGGATTATTGATCGGAGCCACAGATTTCATGGAAGCTAGTGTTACAGCCTTGTATTTTCGATATTCAGGGCTTGCATATCCAGGTCATGGGATAAAGGGATTATAACATTAGTGTGGTATCTATTATGTAATCATTAGGTTTGCATGTTTGTATTCTACAGGAGTTTCTGGTTAGCTTTGAGTGAACAACAAACATACACTAGACTTAACTAACTCCACAGGCATTCTGCTATCCAAGATTACAGGCGTGCTTTGAGTTCATAGTCTACAGTAAGACATTCATAACCCATACACGTGAATGCGCAGGCCCCTGATACTATTGTTCCTTTTGGGTATTGTGTTGAGATCTCATATGCGCACAGACCAGATGTATATTATATATGTACTATAGTGCCACAGTGTCAAGTTTGCAGTGGGGCTTTGAAAAGGTATTAAGCGTTAAAATTAAGACTCCTTAGGCATAGTCACCTTCCATATTGGGGTTAGCCCCTGTATTTGTGCAAATTTTTGAAAAATTTGTATGGCAGTTATTTTCTGGCCACCGTAGTTTGCAGTGGGTATTTCCTTCGTACTAAACCTAATTGGTAAATTGATTGGCTGCATAACATTTGTGAATTTTTGCTACTTGACTTTATAACTTATTTGCAAGAGTTCAAAGGTTTTCGAATCACAAAATAGAGCCACAGTCTTATCCAAACCTTGGATCTGAACATGTGGCTGGAATATTTCCAGGTCTTAATATCTGGTTGGTCCCCCATCCACATCTATCACAGCCTGACATCTTGCTGGCATACTCTTAGTGAGTCTCACAAGATCTTTTGGTAATACAGAATCCCATGCTTCCTTTACAATCTTGCAATACTATCTTGAGTTTGCTGCTTTCCGCAACCCAGATTCAGATGATGACGCTGGATATAATTCTTCATCCTATTCTAAACAACTTCAATTGAGTTAAGATCAGGCGAGTTGGCCGGCCAGAAAATTGGTTGAATTAGCCTCTGGCTCATATCTTCCATTGTACTTGCTGCTGTGTGGGCAGGAGCATTATCCTGCATTACAGAAAGCCAAGGTCTCATGGAGACTATGCCATCAATAAGAGCAACTATCTTCTCGCAATATTTTTGGGAGTTAATGGAACCCCATTCCTTCTCCCAAAAGAAACAAGGGCCTTTTTCTGGCTCTGCAAAGCAACCCCAGAACATCCATCATACCCTATTCTTCGATTTTTTTCCAACAAAATCAGCGTTGTATTCCTGGGAAGTCTAGCTCACAATTTTAGAGCATCAAATTACTATCTTCTTATAGAGGAATGTGCGGACACTTCTTATCACCCATTCTCCAGGATGTCTTCCATCCTCTACCCAAGTTTTGTCTGTCCATAAAACTAACGTCCAGTCTTCATGTGTCCAATTGAGATAAGCTTCGACCCATTCTCTGCGTGTCTTCAAAGTTTTTTGAGATACCGGAGGCTTTAGACAAGCTACATGTTGCTGATATCCTCTTTTTTTAAGTTTTCTTTGTACTACCCGCTTGCTAACACCAAGATGTCTAAAGGGGCCAGAGGCAAGTTCCGGAAATGTTTTGCGGCGGTTTTCAGGTGAAGACTCAATGTAAGATATGATCTGATCAACATCATCTACTTTCAGTCTTGAGGATGTTCTTTTTCTCTTTTTGGGGGAGACAGTTCCAGGGCACAGCAAATAACTCATTTGTCCCCGAGAAATGCCTAGTTGCACGGCAATCTACGTCTGGTTTTTGCCAGATTATATAGCCCATAAATCTTAAAAATTCTTCTAATCTCATTTCTTTGATATTTAATTTTTCTACTTACTAAAATGGTTTGATCTCTTGATAATTGTTTGATTCAAGGTGTTGAAGGTGAGGTTTGAGATGGATTCATCTGCAAAATAAGGTTAGTATTGAGTAAAGCCATGTGTCTTCTGAATAAATAACTTTGTATTTGAGAAATCTAATTCTTGTTGTCACTCAAGCATAAGATGAGAACAGCTGTGAAAATTTTTAGTGTTCAGCTGTCATAAAAATGTTGGCAGAGAACTAGAGAACAGGCTGGATTTGCATAAAACTGAGGGTGACATGAAATCAAATTGTGCCCTTGGTTTAGGCCTGGAAATCCAGGACAAGACTTATATAACCTGTCAAAATTGGCGCTAACAGGGGTACAAACCCTGAAGCAAATATGTACCCCATTTAAATCCACTGAAAACTTGAAATTGTGGCACCATAGTTTCACTGACCAAGTGTTGAAATGTGATATATCTTGGAATGCCAAGAATAACTTATTAGTAAGTCCGGCTGATTTGACTATCAAATTCCCCATTCTATATCACTTTTATCAATACAAATCACGAGGTATGAAAATGGTAGAGAAGCAGCCTTAGGAATGTAAGATAGATTGGCTATGGAAGGAGAAATAGGAGTAACTACAGCGAGCTCTATATACATGAGGTGTGGGTGTTTGCTGAGTAATGCCAAGACTAGATTGGCATTCATGTCACGTGTAGGTGTTTTATGTTCAAGCACCTACACTGCCTTGCTCATTGCATGTTTGGAGTGTCATAATTTACTCCAGACTGACATAATCCCGTGTAAATTGAGTTATAACACGAGCCGTGCTACGTCAAATTTTATCATTTTCGTTCACAGCAGCTTCCTAATGAAGCTAAGGCCGACTACCTTACTGATAGCAGTCGCTAGCGCTTCCCTCATTGTGTTGCAATAATCTCTTGGCTTAGAAGTAACGAGTTTGGTCATGTCCTGGTTAACCACAAACGATCCTTCTTGTAGTAGTATATTCTTATATATGGGTCATGGAGTTAAGGGAGTTAGCGAAGTAGGAATGGAATGGTACATGCAAATATGAGTAGGAATATTAGAGCAGAAAGATTTATTTAAGAAACTCGGGGGACATTGATGTTCAGTAGCTTCTTGTCTTATTCATGTTATAGAGATACATTGAACTACATCTTGAGCCACGTATTGAACTTAACCTTGAATCACGCTCACATGGAGACCTAAGGGCGTAACTGTTTAACATATACAAATAAGCCGATCTTTAATTACAGATTCCCGAGGCTTTAGTGATCCCGAACTCCCAGTGATCTAGCTACAACCAGCCACTCAATTACTGCATGGTATTGTTTCCTAGCCACTGCAGTTCAGATACTACTGAACCTCGTTTCCCCTAGCTGAGCTTAATCGTATGTAATAGAAACAAGTAAATTGATCTTGATGATCAAACTAGAAATCTAAACCTTCATACATACAAAGTCTAGATTTCCAACACGTAGCTAAACCTCAGACCTGGGGTTCCACTTCGCATTGGCTCTGCCATGTACAGAAGGAAGAGAAGTGGCGAGATCGGTGAGCCCTGTGGAACTCCACACACTAGCTCTCTCTTGGTAGTGACTCCCCCAGAGTATTGCACTTGAACCATCCAATTGGCGAGGAAGGAGCTTGTCCGTTTGAGAATAGATTCCGGCCATCCCTGCTCCTGCATCCTCCTCACTAATCGGTTATGGAGTACCGCGTCGAATGCTCCTTAAGCGTCCAACATTAGAAAAGTAGCTGTCCATCCTTGTGAATTTACCTCTTTGATGTCGTGGACCATACATGAGACCAGATCTGTTGCTGAGCGCTTCGGCAGTGCACCAAACTGTTGCTGGCCGACTACATCATGGATTACTGCCAGGTGTGCCATCCGCTTAGCTAAGAGCCTTTCTAACCATTTTCCCAAGCATGAGAGAAGAGTGATTGGTCTCTGTTGGAAAATATACTCTGTACAATATTATATGGATAAATATGATGAAGTAAAGAAGACTTGATATTTTACAACTATGTGAACATTGGACTTATATATACATGTTAGGGGAGAAATTCCCACTAGTCTCATGTGCCTGTCAAACCTAGTGATGACCAGCCACCTCTCATCTACCATGATGATCCAAGGTACACTGTAGTACGTAAATATCCAATTGTAAATGCAACAGTAGGCGCGATTAGCGCACTCGTGACATGTGTAGAGAGAGTCGATCTTGTCGGGAACCTGAGACAAAACAGGTAGTGGTTGAGTCAAAAGTTCGAGTGTCAGAATTTCCAACAGTCTCCAACCCTTGATTGTTGTTGGTTCTCTATTGTTCTTTTGAAGGACCACCTCAGCTAATTTGAAACACTGTGGATGGGTGTTACGGCCGTGTATTCCTGACCCTCGGGGCCTCTAATACTATTGTTCCTTCCAAGTATTGTGTTGTGATCCTACATACGCACGGACCAATTGTAAATTATGTATATATGTATATCTCTAGATACCTCTTGTTATTTTCTTCCCTTAGTTTAGAATCTTATGAATTATATTCCAGATCTGAGTCCTTACCTGATTCGAATTGTTCATCTGCTAACCTGTGCTCCCTTCTAGTCGTCACAATGGGTGCCTAGCAGAATGCAAGCTCGGAACAGTTGGTAAATCCAAGGCCCAATTGTATTCCAACGCGCCTCCAGCAGGTTTACAGAGACTCCGTCTGCTCCTGGGGCCGTATTTCCGCAACCAATGGTACAGGCTCGGACTTCTTCATCTGTTACATCCTCTTCCCATGGTATCCGACTATTGCTCGCGACTGTATATTGCGACAAGTCGTCCGATGCCTGAAATTGTGCTAGGAGGGAGTTGCGAAGGATCGTGGCCCATTTTGATGGATCTGTTATCAACATCCCATTATGATTCAGTGGCGGAGGGATACTAGCCTGTCTGGGGTTACCCATTCCCTGTCACAGACTGACTGATGTGGAGATGGTATCCTGCCAACCTATGGCTCTAAGACTATATGGCTACTGCTATGTCATGGATAGATTCATGGTGTTGAGGTAGAGTCTGATCCTAGCTTCGGCTGGTATCCCTCTAGACAAGTTCTAGTTACTTCGATGGAACTCTAAGCTACTCTGGCAATTAGTTTCTGGATGTTTTGGGATGGTATTTTGTACTCTTGTCAGTTCAGTGGGCTTCGATCAGATTCTAGGTTACTCTCAGGAGTTCGACAGGAATTGGGCTGGAACTAGATTACTGTAGTCTGTAGCAGATAGTGTTGTAGTATAAGTAGCTGAGGTATCTTCATGTCGAAAGCTCTCCAGCTTTCAGTCTTGTATTATTCCCTAGATACCCAAGAATCAAGAATCAAGAACCAAGAACCAAGTCTTAATTGTTATTATATTTTCTTTACCATCAAGAGCCCAAGATTTAGCGCCTCCAGTTCAAGTTAAGTAACCAAGTACCAAGAGATCCTGACATATGGTGTTGCCACTCCCATTGCTTTCATGTATAGTTTTTACCTGGGTGCTCCCGCGCCCGAAGCTTGGTGGCAAGCAGTAGATATGCATGTTGCAGCACTAGGTGTGGGTTTGCACTTTCGGTACCATGACTGTTATTTGCCAGTACTAACTCAACAATAACCCCTATTAAATGGAAACCTTACTCTCCGGACCTGAACTCAATCAAGTTATTGTGGAACATCTTAAAAAATCACATTCAGTTAAATAGTCCAGTGTGATAGAAACTGGGTTGGTGATGAAAAATTTGATTTAATAAACTCTATGAAAAAGAGAAATCTAACTACAGCCACAATGAACTTATAACATTCAGTCCACTCTACAAGTCTTGTTGCTTATACCTTTTCCTTAGGTCGAATAATAACCACACAGCTACGGATTGCCCATATTCACTGTGCCATGACATTGCGTCAATCCCAACAGTCTTATCATCAGAGTCCTCAACAATGTGCTTAGGTATTCAACTAAAATTAAACAATGGGTAAACCGTAACTTCAAGAGATAAATGGGGTCAAGCTTGTGCGCTCTGCTGTCATAGACTAGGGCCTAAGGCACCTAATGCTAGGTTATAGATGAACGAGCTAGGGCTGTTTAGGCAACATGGGATCTGCCCTGTTTGATCATAAGCACTGACCACATTCCCATATATATAAGGGAGACCATTCCCACTCCAACTTCTCTCTTGAGTTCACGATCTTCAACATACCCTACAGTAAAATTTGAATACAATTCTACTTCAGACTCTTACATTGTCCTGAACTCATTTTCTAAGGATAAGTACCTTATATTAACCCCAGTTAAATTGCCAGGTTTGGATAGTATCAAATAGAGTTGATAAATATCCATAAGTTATCTGACTATAAGCTGACAAAGCCACCCACCTTCAAGTCATATATTATTTTATTGAAGATTTGTCACTGCAACTTGCAAATTTTTTCTCGAGTTTTTTTATCTCATTAGTTTGGTTTGAGCCTTCTAATTTTGAAATTAATCCAAGTGTCTAATTTACTAGCTTTGAAATATCTATCCCATTATTTTTTTTGTTCAAAAAAAGATGTTAAATTGTTTTGGGGATATCTAGTTGCTATAACCTGCTTATTCTATTATTTAAGCTGCTGCTTGCTCTTTGTGTAGCCTGTTTTTAGTTTATCAATTATGTCAGGTTTGATGGATGAAAATTATGGACATTCTTATAACAAACAGCTCCTGTATTCTATTAACCAACTACAGAAAAAATTCGAGCAGCAGAATGCAGAGATGAAAGAGCAGAGCAAGCTTATGAATAACCTCAAACAACATGCAAAATCTACCACCAAGACCCTTCATGAGGTAAGGCAAGTTGGAACAATGCCAGACAGTACAAAAATAGAGCAAACTGAAGACATAAAAGAGAAGCTCCCACAGATAGACAAGTTTAAAGGAGATAGAACAATGTGGGATGAATGGCATCTTGGAGCACAGCACAAATTATTAAGGGACGGTGAAGCACTTGGATCTCCCTTTGATCAGTTCATAAACATTTTCTCGCAACTTGATGGTGATGCTATAAAGATTGTTTCTACTACAGCAAGAACCCTATCAGAAAATGGAGAAGGGAAAGTGTTGGAAAGTGTCATAGGCTAGAGCCTAAGGCAGCCAAGGCAGCCAAGGCTTGGGCTTGGGTGACTGATCTGAGCAGATACCAATCAAGTGACTATTTAGTTGCTCTATTTTGGTATAGTCTGGTAACAGCACAGACCACCTTTCAATGTATATAAGGAAGAATTTTCCTCTTCCATCTTCTTTCTTTAGTTTAAGATCTTCTATACACAGCACACAGTACAATTCGAATACAATTCTACTTCTAGCCCTTACAGAAAGTGTGTATGGCTTCTAAGAGGAAACTCACTCAAAGAATATAGTGTTGTGATATAACTGTCAGAGCTGCTATGGGCCATCCATGTCTATCTACAGGGATATAGCATATCCATGTACCAGTGCAGTATGCAGGTTCCATGTGGTCCCTGCACAACTGTTATTACAATCAACACCAAGAGCTTGGTGTTACTAGTACAACATGTTAGAGAATGGCATGGAATGTGACTATGGAACATTCCGGTTATATGATTATGGACTGTATCATGGGTATGCAGCATGTATATATATCAGTCCTGTCTACCTTGGTAGCACCATCAATTGTATTAATTAAGTTATTCATATCTTCAGTCTCTGATTATCATCCTCTGCTCTTCTCTGTTATCCCTAGCTTATTAATCATTCCATACCTACTCATAACCTAAGTATAACATATAAGCACAGCTTCAAAGTACTTTGTAGTAGCTCAATCAAATAGATTATTCATGTGAATTGTTCTTATTATATTATATTATATTATATTATATTATATTATATTATATTATATTA